CTAGCCCGTGACCTCGGAGCACCTGGCGCTGCTGCCGGACAGGATTGTGAGGATGACAGTCAATAACGTGCCGCAGAGCGCTTTGTAAACTTTATGGAGTGCTGTACCCATACTGCGAGGGCCCAGAAATTAGCAACAGTTGTTGAGAAACGATCCTGTGACGAATGGGAGGAACTTTGAAGTGGGAGGGAGGCATCAAAAATGGCTACACATTAAGTGTGAGGGGAGGGGTGCAGAGGAAGAAAGCAATTTTTTTGGCGCTTGAGGTAGTGTCAGGATAACCAAAGTTGCCTTGTCTGTGAACAGGCTCCGAAACAATGCTTTAGTTCAGTCTAACCGTTTTGAAGGAAGACCTCTGCCTCGCTTAGTTACGCTTCTTAATGTGTAAGAAACAGGCAGGTAGAAGCCAGAATAAATTTCATAATGCAAATAAAAAGGTAGAGAAACTCATTTGAATGAGAAAGTAAATTCTGAGGAAAGGGACGTGAGAACAAAAGTTAGGAAAAACTAAAATCAGTATTCTTACAGTAAACTAGACTGGGAACTCGACGCAGAGGCAAGATCATCTCCATTCAATTCTCCAGTCCTTAAAACTGGGCCACATATATTCAGCGTAACTAGGTATTGTAATACTGGTAACAGTAAAATATCCAAAAACACACATATCTGTTTTAAAGAAGCAAAGTCAGGCAGGGACAAAAATCAAGAGCAAAACTCTTCAAATCCTTATGTGTGAAGTTTTGAACCGTGACATCACAATTTAGGCTTCATGTAGTAAAAAGCAAGTTTTTATCATTTTGTCATTTATCCCATTTTCTCTTGTTTCTTCACTGCTGAAAACAAGACTGAAGAAAACAGGAGGACCTGCACAGTTCCTACGTGTCTTAATTAATACATCCTTTTAGCTTGAAAAAATAAGGTGTACAGATTCAGGCAGCATACCAGTTAAAGACAATATATGAGAATAGCCTCTTCCTTTCTGTAACATTACTAAAGTAGTAAAAAATACAATCTTTTTATTTGTGGTTTTTTGTTCTGTTTTTTGGTTTCTGTCAAACTCAGAAGTTCTTACTAAACATACCAATTTTTAAAAGACAATAACCCATTAGAATGGAGTATGAGCCTCAGAATTTTGGAAAGTGGAAAGCCTTTAGGTGAAGGGTAATTAACAAATGAAATAAAGATGAATCCCAGAACTAACAATGGGAAAGTAAAAAAGCAACTTGATCTACATCACAGAAATCCCTAAAGTCTCAAGTTGAACTGGTGACACCAAGTAACTGAAGGTGGAGGTAAAAGTGGGCTAAAAACAGGGCAGACTGAAAGGCTGTGTAAGAAACAAACAGACCCCTGCATTCCCTCCCTCCTCCATATAACCAAGGAACTGCCCCTCCCCAAAGCTGGTACAAGACTTGAGAGGGTTGATGCATGGTATCTAACTGGAGAGCATTAGGCACAGTTAAAGCTTGAGTACTTTACTGAAAACAGAGGCATTAAGTTTAAGTTTATGCCCTGAAGGTTGAGCCTGTAAAACTTCTTTCCCTACTTTACTCTCAGAAAACTTGACAGTCTGGCTTATATCCCTCAGTAAGAGAATATACAAGCCTTCTTGAGGGAATCTTATCTATGTAAGAGAAAAAAAACCTAAAGATACCAATATGAGAAATTTCACAATGTAATAGCCCAGCCAGATCACAGTAGACTGAAATCCACATCAATAAGCCCCATTTACCCCCCAAAACAGACCTTTCAATCAGCTTTTTGGGGGTCCCACTCTTGAAGAAGAGCAAAGGAGCAGACAACCAAGAATTTAAGTCTTTAATTTAAAAAATGTCCAAAGGAATATTCAAACAACCAAAAAAAAAAAAAAAAAAACAAAAGAGCAAATAATCCCAGTAGAAATATGAAAAGGATCTAAATAGACATTTCTCAAAAAAAAAAAAAAAAACCCCTCTTGGACATGTAAATATGATACTAGAAAAAAGAAAACTATTTTAAATAGATTACAAAAAAAAAGTTGAAGAAATCTCTAAGAAGGAAGATGATAAAAAATAGAAGAGTAAATGTAAGAATATTAGGAGATTAATTCAGGAAGTCCAACGTCCAAATAACTATTTTTCAGAAAGAGAAAGAGGGTTGGGGGAATCTACATATAATGTAAGAATATTTCCCAGAATGGAAGAAACTGATTTTCCATACATAAAAATCTAAAGTACTCAGCACAATGGATGACCTACTCAAGACACATTATTGGGAAAATTTCAAAACATTATAGACAATGAGATGATCCCAAGAGGTCTGGGGTGAGGGTGATAGGGATTGGATACATACAAAAAAAAAAAAAATTAGAAGATAGAAAACAATGGGGCAATGCTTTCATAATAATCCTAAAGAAAAATTATTCCTAATCTGGAATTCTACACCCAGCCAACCTATCAATCAAGTGTGACAAGAGACACGCAAGGTTCTCCAGAAATTTATCTCCCACACATACTTTCTCAGGAAGGCACTTAGAGGTGATAAATCAAGAAAGAAGTCAGGGGATTAACACACACATAAAATATGACAGTGAAAGTGTACACCAACGCAAGACGTGTGCAGCAAACCTACAGAGTAAACCAATCCAAATGGGAACATAACACCAGATAGCCCTAAGAATGAATACCTCATGTTTCTGAACATAGAAAAAGGAAGCTGGCACAAATGAAGGAGAACTGAGGGAGAAATTAGTGACAAGTACAAAAAAAAACAAATGAAAAACTCCCTAAAAAAAGTTATGCAGAAAAGAAAAGTAGTAACATTATACTACATTGCCTAGTTGTGAACAGCCACAAGGTAAAAACTAAATACTGATCTAGCCTAAATTATAATAGAACTAAATATTACTAAATAGAATAAATAGAATTATTAGAATAGAACTATAATATATAGAAATAATAACTATAATTAGAACCATAATAGAAGAATGTGTGTGTCCTTGGGAATAAAAGGATTTTGAAAAAGAGCTAAATCTTCAGTTTCCACAACAGAAAGTCAACATATGATGCCTAAAATTGAAAAACCAAAATGTAGCAAAATAAAATTATTTAATGATATAAAGGTAAGTAATGTGAGAATCAGAGTTGAAAGTGGTTGCCTCTGGGGAGTGGAAGACATAGTGTTGCTGCTTTTTACAATTGAGTTTTTTTACACTAAGTGCACAATAACAGTGAAAATGAAAAGTACATTTTTTAAAAAGAAAGCTTCACGTAGCCTAGAAAGTAACAAAATTAAAATCCTAAGAGCACCACTTATAGTGACAAGTTAAAGGGTTATATCCCATTAATACTATAGATGAAGATCATTAATGATCTCTAACTGGTATTAATCATATTGTTAAATAAAATTCAGAATAACCTCTTCCACTAGGGAGGAATTCAGTATCTAAATCAAGTAATTTATTTACATATTGTAAATCAAATCTTGTATCAAATCTAAATCTCACCCACAGTTGAAGAACATGGTATATATATATTGGTTTGGAAGGCTAAGTTCCCTGGGTATACAAGTATACCCGAGCCTATCCTTTATGAGCACCATTTTGACTTAATCTAAGTCATGTAATTCCTCCTATTTTCGTAAACAGGTGACACCAAACAATTGCCTTTTGTTAATGACTTAGGGTTTATATACGTCAGAGATAGGTCATATGTAGTAAAATACATGCAATGTCCTACTATGCTGAACATAAGGCTCTTTGTCCTGACATGAAATATCCATGGGGGGCCGGATGGGCTGGCTCACGCCTATAATCCTAGCACTTTGGAAGGCCAAGGCGGGATGATCACTTGAGGCCAGGAGTTCAAGACCAGCCTGAACAAGAGCGAGACTCTGTCTCTATATAAAATGGGAAAATTAGCTGGGCATGGTGGCACACATCCGTAGTCCCAGCTATTTGGGAGGCTGAGGCAGGAGGATCGCTCCAGCCCAGGAGCTTGAGGTTGCAGTGAGCTATGATGATGCCACTGTACTCTAGCCTGGGAGACAAGGTGAGAGACTCTGTCTCAAAAACAAACAAACAAAAAACAAAAAAACATGGGAACCACTGTACTTTTGAGTTAAATATTTTTAACAAGTTTCTCTTTTCTTGCAGTCAGTTGGCACTGCTCTCTAGGTATCTGCTACTAGCAAGGCTTCCCCTTTCTAATCTGTTGATTATTTGGCAAGGGCTTCAAAACCCGGTAATAGCAACAAATAGGCTAAGACTAAGGGAGAAAGAAGTTCACCTTTGAATAACCACAAGAGTTTTAGTGCACAGTCTAAAGGAAATGAGCAAAGAGCCATTTACTGTGTCATGGACAAGAGTACTAAAAAGCTAAATTTCAAATAAATATTTATGATTATATTTAAGCTGATTCAAAAGCATCTACTGATCATCAAGCTCCATATGTAATGTTAGAAAAGTTTCTTCCACTCCATTAATAAAACAATTTCACTCTTTAAGTCTTCAAAACTGCTGATTTAGTCACATTTGATTTATTCCTATTCAAAATTAAAACAAAACAAAACAAAACAAAACAAAAAAGCCTGGCTAGTCCCAAAGAGTACTGGTGAGATAAAGTCTGGCTAGTCACCATCTGTCCCTTATAAAGTCAAAGAGCCTCTAAGGACAAGAGACATTGAGAATGCAGACATAATAGTAACAAAGCTGCCTTTCCTGCCAAGAAATGGCATTCCTCTAGTCCCACAAACATTTATTTATTCAATAAAAATTTATTGAGTCACACTGTGTACAAGGAATTTTACTAAGTGCTGCAATGAAGAAAGAATGACAAAATGGTTTGTATATCAAGGATTTGAACAAGTCCTTAATAATTCTCCTGATTTGAGAAAGATGTTCCTACCTTAGCTCATTTAAGGAGCTAAGAGCATGGATGAGGTCTGCTATCTGTCCTTCTATCAGCCCAGCATAAACTTTTGTCTTCCTCAAATCAGTTTTAAGTCAAAACAAATAAGGCACATTTTAAAAAAATTCCCCCCTTTAATTGACCAAAGTAAAGCCATGACATTTCATTTGGTAACCTGCTCAGAATTATAAAAATCGTTTCATTTGGCCCAACCCATAGTGCCCAGGACAAAACTCCCAGACAATTCTAATCCCATCCGGCTCTGTTTCTTATAAACTTCGCATTTAAAAAAAAAAAAAAAGTCTTCAACGTCCTAAAATATGATGCGCTCAGTGTGAAGCATATCAGAGCTGGATGTGATATTTATGTCCTTGACAAGCCTCGATTATCCAGGTCCTTTACCTGCAACATAAAGATGTCAGTTTAATATATACAATCAGATCAACTTTAGAGAGCTTTTCTACTGAAATGGATTCACCCAGAGCAAGAGGGATTATGTTGGGCTCTGCTGCCTGGTTTGGGGCTGTGAATAAACAAACACTGGTTAGAGACTAGCCACTCTCTATGTAGCTTTGTCGAATCCTTCATACCTCTGTGAAGAACAATGTAAATGATCTCAATCTTTTCTTATGTAAGAGATACAACACACTCCCATGTGACTCTATGTGACTTTATATACCATAAATTCTTCAGTGGAAGAGAAGAAAATGTAGCTCAAAAAACATAAACATGAACTTTTTTCCTCTTTTTCCCCCCCAAGCCTAATAATCACTGAAACATGTTGAGTCAAGTCCCAACTGGAAAAATATCACTGCAACAACTGCCAAAATGACAGAAGACTGGGATGTCTACTCTCAAAGAACAATCTAAAATAAAAAGTAAAATTTTGAGTGAGTTGCAAGCTACTTTTCAGACACAGGTGTCATTAGAAATTTCCCTATTTGAGAAATATGTGGCCCATTTTTTTAAGCACTGGAACCAATTTGCAAACATGAAAGTTGCTTTCTGAGATAGTATAGCATCTGCTCACCTTGTATATCCTAACCAGCCAATGTTCTGTGGTATATGCTTCCTCAAGGACATCAAGCTCAAAGTCTTTATTCCCAATCTCAGCATTTCGGACACGGTCAAAGCCTGGTGGACGCTCTAGAAAGGGACAAAAAAGAACACACTTCCTTCTACAATGCTGATTTCCTAAAGAGACAGTAAATGGATTTGGTACATCATCTTCTAATTGAATGGTTATTCCTTAGCCTACAGTTAGTTAGGGGTCTGCAGAAAAGGGCATCAGGTAGCAAGGGCAAATCAAGTGTAACCCTAACTCAAGTCCTGTCCAAGATGATGCTTGGTAGTCAGTGGAGGTTATTATCTCTGCTAAGAGATAGGAAGCTGACTTCCAAGGCCCTCTATTACTGAGCATTGTCATCCAGAGGCCCCCTATAACACACTAGTAACCCTTACATGAATCAAAGAAGAACCTATCAGAAGCGAAAGGCCTGCATTTCACTTCAGAAATTCTCCCTAGTGCAAAACCAAGAAATTGACGTCAGAAGGAAAGATTTAACCTGATCAAATAACTCTCAATGTATTCATCTAAAGAAATGAAAAGCCCTTTGTCTCACTCTATCCCCCTTCCTTTTTTCACTATAATACCCTTTGCTGAGATACAATAAAAAGCAATGGTTTAAATAATCTGGAGCCAGACTGCCTGAGTCTGAATCCTGACTCTGCTACTAGTCATGTAACGTTGGGCAGTTGAGTAACCTCTTTGCACCTCAATTTTCTCACATATAAAATGACAATAATATTAGTATCTACCTTGTGGGGTTTTGTGAGGATTAAATGAGTTACTAGATATAAAGCACTTACAGCAGCACCTGGCATACAGAAAAACACTGTGTATTAGCTATTACTATTATAATACTATTGTTATTAATATTAACATTATTATGAATCACTCACTGGCTTCTGTGTAGACCTGTCCAAAGCGGTAGTAACACATCTTATACATGAGGCAGTTGAGCAACACTGGAGAACCCTCACGGTCTACACGGAATTCCCCAGTTGGAGTATAATAGTCATTTTCCTTGATATGTTTGCCTGTGTCTGTGCTCCCTCCAATCCGGACCATCCAAAGAAACTTGTTGATATCTAGGGGGAAAAAAAGAAAGAACTGCTGCAGCACAAAGGTTGCTAGAGCTAAATTAGGCCTTTTTTTTTTTTTTTTTGTCCAGACACAGGGTCTTGTGCTGTTGCCCAGGCTGGAGTGCAGTAGCATGGATCATGACTCATTGTAACCTCATAGCACTGTAACCTTGAACTCCTGAGCTCAAGCAATGCTCCTTCCTCAGCTTCCCGAATAGCTAGGACTACAGGCATGCACCACCATACCTGGCCAATTTTTTAAAAAATATTTTGTAGAGATGAAGTCTTGCTATGTTGCCTACATTGGTCTTGAACTCCTGGCCTCAAGCAGTCCTCCTGCCTTGGCCTCCCAAAGTGCAGGGATTACAGGAGTAAGCCACCACACCCAGCCAGGTAAGTAGTTCTAAGAAAATTCCCCAACATATTTTTCTAATGGAGAATGGTACCATTTAATTTGTAAAAACAGGAAAAACAATGTGTGGGCAAAACATTTTTCCTCAAAATATACAACTTTTCTTAGAAATTATTAGGCTGCAGAAATCCCGTGCTATTAGTCCACACTGAAGCCACAACTAAAATTGGTCCTATGTATTAGCTGGAGCTAATCTATCAAATATAGTAGCCACTGAGCACTTGAAATGTGCTTAGTCCAAAAGAAGATATGCTCTAAGTATAAAATACACACTAGACTTCTAAGACTTAGTCGAAAAAAACCCGAAACCACAATGGGGATAAAATACATTGGCTACATGTTTAATTAAATAGCAATGTTTTGATATGAATATATTCAGTTAAATAAAATTATTAAAATTAATTTCACCTGTTTCTTTATATTATTTTGATGTGGCTAATAGAAAGGCTAAAATGACACACGGCTCCCATTTTATTTCTATTGGACAGTGGAAAGCACTAACTAAATTACCAAAAAAGTAGAGAAGATACAAGTGTGATCCCTCTTGACTTATAACTGCAAAGTTACAGACCTCCAAAGCATACATATAAGAAATCAACATTTCTATGTCAAACACACTCCAAGGCCCCATAAATACTGACACTACCATTGACTCAGGATATCTGTTAGATTTTGTCATTCTCTGTATTGCTTGCACGGGTTTTAGGGAAATCAGTTGCTAGGTGTTTCACTGGATGGTTAGTCTAAAAAGTATTACTGATCCCTAAGAAAGTAAGATTCCTACTGCAGTACTACAAAGGGTTCCAAGGGATATCACAGTGGTTAAGAACTGACTCTGGATCCAAACTGCTGGAGTTTGAGTTCCAGCACTGCCAAATCTAGCTGGGTGACCTTAAGAAAGTTACTTAACCTCTCTGTGCTTCAGTTTCCTCATCTGTCAATTAGAAAAATAACAGTATCTACAACAATAGGGCTGTTATGGTATTATGAATAAGAGCATGTAAAGCATGTTAATATATTTTTTGTCACACTGTAAACATCTGAATAATATTACTATCTTCCTGCAGTGTCTGCATTCTTACCTTCATCTTACAAATGGAAAAAATGAGGCACAGAGAAGTGCCTAGATCAGACAGCCAGAAAAAGAAGCAAAAACAAAACCCTAGAACATCAACTCAGCCATTATAGAGCACTGCTATTATAGCTTTCTGGCAAGTATGGCTGAAGGAAAAACTTGGTAAGCGTTATGAATGGAAGAGTGAAAATAACAGGAATTGCATGAAGGACAATCCTCTGCTCAAAATATTAATATATGGTTGTCTACAGAAAAAGAAGTTAAAGAAGGGTGGTATTGTATCAAACTCTCCTATGAGAGAATCTGGACTACGAGCAGATCTAAATAGTTTCTTTTAAACCTGCATAAGCATGGAAAAGAAAATAAGTAACATAAAATAAACATGACTTACAAAAGGGAAAAACCTTGTCCATGACACTAACATTCAAAAGAAGTTTAAATAAGAACATTTAAGAATCATAATTAGATGTGACCACGAAATAATAAAACTTTTAAAAAACATAATAGAACTTTTATACCCAAATGCCTGTTAAACACTTTTAAAAATGTCATTTTTATGGCCTGGTGGCCCAAGCCTATAATCCTGGCACGTTGGAAGCCAAGGTGAGAGGATCACTTGAGGCCAGGAGTTCAAGACCAGCCTGAGCCAGAGTGAGACCCCCGTCTCTACAAAAAACAGAAAAATTAGCCAGGCATGGTGGCGCGTGCGCCTATAGTCCCAGCTACTTCGGAGGCTGAGGCAGGAGGATTGTTCGAGCCTGGGAGTTTGAGGTTGCAGTGAGCTATGAAGACGCCACTGCACTCCAGCCCTGGTGACAGAGTAAGACCCTATCTCAAAGAAAAAAAAAATTAGAATTGCCTTCAGAGACCAAGACATGTGTTTTTTGTTATTTTTTTAAATACTCAGGAAGAAGAATAATGACTGAAGATAAGCTGGGAGGACTGAGGGGCAGAGCAGTGGAGGCAATACCAAATACCAGTGAAGTTTGTGTTTTGGAACATATTTGTATGTG